AAGGTTTCTAAGCCATCCAGCTTTGTATCCAAATTCTCTTCACAGATGAAGGAGTTGAGAAACAGAGCATTACATATGCCAGAGAAAAGGCTTTTCATCTCTGCTCTAGCATTCTAACAAAGCATTCGGCATTTCTCTCTCTCTCACTTTATTAGGGAGACTGCTCTCTGGATGGCTGCCTGCTTACTGTTTGCATCTTTACCCAGAGGTAAATATACTACAATACATGTCTAGAAATATGTGGAAGTATTTATATGTGAATACACAAACTGCAAACTGAGAGTCTTGGAGCAAAACGACACAAATACATGCTTTGCTTTGAATGTATTTCATCACAGTCCAAGGTTTGCAAGTACAGGTAATAACCTTCAGATGAACTTCTATATCTGAAAGAAGTGGTTTCAAGGTTAAGGTCTTCCAGGTCCATAAATCGCTACCTATAAAGCTTATCCTGCCCACATCCTTAAAAATACCCCTAGCATTTCCATAATATTAAGGATGACTGGGAATCTCAACCTTTACAACCCCCAACCGCCTTGCTTCTGGTTTTGTATTTGAAATTATGAGGTTGCTGGACTCACTGCAGGAATAACCAGGTAAGTGAAAAGACTGGAGCCCAACAGCAATCTCTCTCCCTGAATCTTTGTGCACACTCGGCCAAGTTCTAGCTGAGTTGGGTTTCCGGCATTATATAGATTAGATATGATCTTCCCTATGAAAGAGGTATGCTAGTATGTGCTGGTGAGGGAGTCTTTTACAAGCTGCAGAGGCAACTCCCTGTCATTTCCATATCTGAAGCTTCAGTTCAGCAATATTAAGACCTCTGTGTGTGGTCAAGACTCCTCTCTTTGCCTAGGAGCACCTCACTTTTACCAAGCACTGAGGTGGTTCAGGAGGTTACACTTCATCTGAAACTAGTCTCTCTCTTCTGGAAGAACAACTGACATTTTTAGGGAAAAACTTTCATGTGTCTCCACAGAGCAGCATGAAAAGTCTATTGTCACTCAGGATGAGCTCTTTTGGTAGATGAATACACCTGCAAGCACGCTGAGCCATCTAAGTGACTACCCTTTGACTCTTTTTTTTTCCCCCCTTCCCTAAAATAAGGGAATTCAAGTTCAGCGTTTCTGAGCAAGTAACTGTGATTGCAAACAGCCCTCGATCCTCCCCAAAATACTTCTTCATGCAGTCGAGACATGAGCTTATAAGGACTCACGCAACATTACCTTGTCAGGTTAACACATTTCAGTTCGAGCTCCTAATTACTCAAGAATACAAGAAATTCCCTGTTGCCTTGTTTCTAACACTGCCACATTTTTCTGCTTAACCTATTACTTCCACTGATAAACTACTTAGTCCACTGTTAGAACTGCGCTAACATCACCACAGTGAACTTGAGAGACACGCTAAAGAGGTTTCCAATTCCAGGCCCTTTTCCACAAGGCATAAACTCCAGATCACCTACTAGCATCCCAGATTCCTCCAGTATAGGCAGTATAGAGTTAATGAACAAAGATAATTACCCTAGATCATTTTCAGGGGGAAAGGAGGGAGGCCAGACTTTATGAGCTTCCCTGCACCACATTTTGGATACTGAAGCAGCAATATTTTCTTACTATAGGAATCTCACATATTGGTTAAGTTAGCACACTCAACTTCACCTTGATAGCCTTAAGCACTTGGGCAGTATTTAAAATACACAATTAAAAAAAAAAAAACACATATAAAATAAACTCATTTCACTTTACATTTGAGTCTTACAACATCAAGTGAAAGCTATGTAGCAACACATATTTTTTCCAAGGTAGAGAACCACACCTTCCGCACGCAAAGCTTACCAGGTAGATGAGATGAGCCCTGCTCCACACACCTCAGCAGTAGCTTCCACCATCCCTGCTGCTCACTGCACAGCTGCTTCAGTCTTCTGGCCAGGAAGCTCTCTGCTTCCACACCTCCCAGTGCATCAATGGCCTCAGCAAGAAGCTTAACACAACACCATCAGTCCTCAGCATTCTTAATCTTCTTCTCAAGGCTGCCTTTCATAACAGCACTTACTTGACTTGTACCCAGAAGTCTGTTCTTGTCATCTACAAAAGGCCTCACACAGCTGTAGGCCCTGATAAATAACTCATTACTGTCAGATTTCAGCCACCTGTTCTCATCCCAGGCATCTCCAGCAAAGCCTCCTTTTTTGCCTCCTACTGTCTGGCTTTGACCAGCTGAAAGCAGTGTAGGGCAGGGTGGGTTGAACCCCATCGATGTTTACAGGGTTGTTACAAGGTTTGTATCCCAAACAGATGCACTTCTAAAACCAGTATCAAATTTAGAAGTTACTCCAATCAGGAGACAGGATCAACACTCTCTCCCTCTTTTGCTCATTAAGCAAATACTTATTGTCCATTTTTCTGAAGAGAGCTACAAGTTTTGTTGATTTCAGCATTATCTTTTCTTCATCCATTTGCGACACCATACATTCTAAGGACTCTCTCTACTCATGGCATCCTGTGGACAGGACTGTTCCCCCCAGAAAGCTCTTCTGGAGGCTCATTTCTTCCAGGGCTTACAAAATACCTGCGGCAGCCTTAGGCACACTCATCTTCCCCCCTGTGCTTAGCTAACCATGGTCAGCCTTAACCATGGTCTGCTTTCAGACATGGCCTTTCCTGAGAGGGGCTTTGCTGACCACAGCCTTATCGGCTCCCCAAGCCCAAACAGCTCAGGGACGGGTCTCAGGCTGCTCCCTCCCCTCCTTCAGCTGCTGGTGGCCCTTCCAGGTGCACTGGGTACAGCTAATGGCACTGCCTGAGTACGTCCCTGCCCATGGCAGGGGGGTTGGAACTAGATGATCTTTAAGGTCCCTTCCAACCCAAACCATTCTATGATCATTCATCACAGGGCTGAGGTAACCTCCTTGGAGAGCGTAGGGCAGTAAGGGTACAGTACAGTGGAGGATGAGCTTTATAATAAATAAAATAAGACCCTTGTTTGGATACTCTTGTAATTCAGTTTCCCCTTGGGAAGCAAAACCTGGTCAGCAACTGATACAGTCTGAAAACAGTTGAGCTCTCCACATGGTAAGGGAAGTCTCTTTCCACTGACAACCAGAAATAGCACTGGGGATATACTTTTTTTCAGCTAAAAGTTGACATTATTGGGCAAAAGTGGACTGAGATTTTCAGCTGAAAAATCTGAAAACCTACAGAAAGCTGATGTTTGGTGATAGAGTTCTAATTCAAGACGCTTGCTTGGCTCTGCAATTTAGCTCTCTGAATTATACTTTTCCTTCTGCTTTTATGTCTGTCTACTACATGGACACAAAACAAGCCTCAAAACAGACACTGATTAATATGGAAACAGGCTCAAGCATGTAACAAGCTGAGCCCTGGCTGATGTCAGTGACTTCAAGGGGAACTGGGATTCTCTTTGGCCTTCAGTGCAATATACACACAGAGCTGGTGCAAGGCCTAGAACGCAGGAATGACCGCACTATGACCGAGAACATTTATTTCTATATTTAGTCTGATTACTTACCCTTTATGTTTCACAGAACTTTGGCCATGAAAACAGATTGAGTTGTTTCACAGTGAATTTTAGCTTTTCTTCTTGGCAGAACCGCAGGCTCATGCTGCTTTTGTTCTGCTCCGTGCTGGGGATGAAAGTTTCCCATCCAAATTAATTCATCTGCATTTTAATTTATAAAATAATTTTATGAAACAGATTTGTTCAAAGCATTAATTTAAGCCCACATTCTGTGCTGAAAATACCTAGTTATCTATGCTTTATAAATGCATAAAAACCTTCTTCCAAACCTGTCTTCCCCTAGATAATACACCACCACAATCTAGTAAGAGCTGTCCCACACAATAGTGGCAAACTACCCCATTTGTGCAAGTTTTGGTATATTTCCAACTAACTTCAAGGCCAGGTTGGATGAGGCTTTGAGCAACCTGGAGTGTAGTGGAGGGTGTCCCTGCCCGTGGCAGGGGGGTTAGAACTAGATCATCTTTGACCCTTGCAACCCAAACCATTCTATGATTCTGTGATTCTATGCACTCAGAAGAATTTATAAAAATAATTAGTATTGAAGTTATTAAATGAACAGCGTGTGTGAGTGAGATGCATCTGGCTTCCTGCCCTGCCTGTCCACCAGTCCATTCGCCAGCAGGCTGCCCTCACCCTGGTTCTTGCATGTGCTGGAACTGGCTGGTAAGGTTGGTAACATCCCTGCCCAACATCCAAGCCACTCATACAAAGTATCTGTCTCCTTGAGGCCTTGGAAAAGTCATTTACCTAAAGTGGGAATGTCAGACCTTCTTTCTGGGGTACTGGGAGAATAACTGTACCAAAGAGGATGACAGTGCCAGGGACAGGTGTTGGCAAGAGCCTTGAGTGCACCCAGACAGACGAGCAGAAACAGGCTGTTTTGATCAGACTCTCTACAAAATGTCACAGGGGAAGGGAGACGGAGCCTCTAGCACATTATTTACAAATCAAGAGCCACGATCTGATGGGTGAGCAACGGGAGTTGGGGGAGACCAGACCCATTCAGGACTCTTCTCTTGCTGATATAACACCCTTTTCACGCTTCTCCTTTTTTCAGCAAGACTTCCTACAAAACCAAGGCTTGCTTAATCATGTCTGCCCGTCTTCACTTCCCTGCATCCCCTTCTCCCCTTGTGAACCAACTGATGAATTAAAATCAAATCTGACACCTGATCTCAAAGACTAAGATCCCCAGAAGCTGGGAGAAAAATCACCAGCTAAAGAGACAAGTTCAAGCAGCACCCACACTGACAAAGCGAAGGCAACTTGCACATGGCAACATCTGTCCTGCTGAGGGCCCTGGGCGCTCCGTCCTGGCATGGCACATTCTGCCTCCTGCCTGGCTGGGAGCTGGAGGACACAGAGAGGCGATAATGATGCGATGAAGCCTAATTATAGGAAACTTGGTGTCCCTCGCTCTGCTGGGCACTGAGAAAGTTGTCTGTGTTTTATTCCAGGTCAACCAGACACAACGTGCCATGCATTTGTTGGAGAAACTGTCATTTTGCCTTGCAGCACCACCATCTCTCCTGGAGAGCTGATCCTTTCCAAATCAATGCTCTACTGGCAGATAGACTCCTCTGTCGTAGTGCACTTTTTTCGCAATGGGCAGAATTCGCTGAACTTGCAGGACAATCATTATCATGGCAGAACTAGTCTTTTTCTGGACGAGATGAAGCATGGCAACTTCTCCTTAAAGCTCTCCAATGTCCAGTTACAGGACGCAGCCGTATATAGTTGCATCTACAAGCAGACAGGGAATCATCTCAACCAAACATGGAAATCTAAAATTAAACTCATTGTATCAGGTAAGATGTTTTTTTCCAGTTCAGAGGGAGAGAGTTGAGGGCAGCATTTCTTGTTGACAAGTCATATATGGCCATCGACTGGGATTACTTCAATTTTTACAGCAAATCTTCATTCAGTTTCACTCCGTTCCTTGCTTTTTCTGGAAGAATAAGTGAGAAGGAAAAAAAAAAAATTGCATCTTTGTTAAGCTTCAGTACAGTATATCCACAGAAGCAGCAGGACTCCTGAAGGCAAGCTGCCTGCCTCTTCCCCCTCCCTTTGCAGGAAACATTAATGAATAATGAGGTCTCCCCAGCTTTTAAGCATTTGGTTATTTATAGGTTTGTACTTTCCTGGATCCACCTTGTCCCAGAGGAACGGGAGAGTTTATTTCATTGTTTGCACTTGAGTCTGTGAAGCAGGGTTAGTTTCATCTCTGGCAATCAGATCCAAAGTCCAGGCTGTACACCCTTTCAGACGAAAGACCTTTTCCCCTTGCAGCTGGAAGATCTGGATCCGGTGGCAAGCCCAGACACACACAAGAGTTATCATTTTTCTTCCTTAGGAAAATAAGACAGACCATAACACATGCTTGAATAATGCCAAACAACTCAGCTAACACATTTGAACTATCTACAAAGCATGAACAGCGGAATGATGGGGCATGGGGTTTGACAAGTTGACCCACTGAAAATACAAATTAAAAAAAGGGAATATGCATCAAACCAAATAATAGTTCTTTAAGGTGTCTCGCTTGAATAAATGAGCTGGAAACTGTCATTACGGACAATCACACACATTTAATTCTGCCTAAAATAGAGAAAAAAAATGTTTTCAAGCAATATAAACCCTTTAATATCTTTGTTTTAATGTGCATCGTTCTCAAGAGAAAAATGTACCTTCCAGTACCTAAACAAGAAAGCTGGAGAGGGACTTTTTACAAGGGCGTGTAGTGACAGGACAAGGGGCAATGGCTTTAAACTGAAAGAGGGCAGATTTAGGTTGGATATAAGAAAGAAATTTTTCACTCTGAGGGTGGTGAGGCACTGGCACAGGTTGCCCAGAGAAGTTGTGGATGCTTCATCCCTGGCAGTGTTCAAGGCCAGGTTGGATGAGGCTTTGAGCAATCTGATCTACGAGAAGGTGTCCCTGCCCATGGCAGGGCGGTTGGAACTAGATGATCTTTGAGGTCCCTTCCAACCCAAACCATTCTATAATTCTATGATTCTATATTTTTAAAATGTAAAGTGAAATACTTTTGTTCAGAAAGTTTCAAAATGAAATGTTTTGCAGTTTTCAAAATGAAAAAAAAAAAGTGTTTTGAAAATGCAGAATCAAAATATTTTCATCATCTAATTTTTGGGAGCAGTAAGATGTCTTTTACTTTGATGTAATTCTGTGATCATATTTAAACTTTCAATTTGTTTGACAAATGTATTCTTTCTCAGAAAAAAAACCACTAACCCATAGATCAATTATCAGTACCCTTTTTCTTTCCTAGGCTCAAACAAATAACTTTGTATTATTGTGTTTTTTTCCAGCTCCACCTAGCATTGAGGAGGCACCTTCCCCTTCTGGTAAGGCAATACTCCATAACCTGCTGGGTGTCTAAGTGATTATCCAGTGTTTTCATTTGAATTTGCAAGATTAGTAAAATGTGCTGAATAGAGAAAGTCCAATAGACTTCTGGTGCTTGTTCTCTCTTACTAAGTCTAGCAAAATACAGCTGCCCCAGACAGGGAAAATTATCTCCACCACTAAGACAGACCTAGACTGCAGAAAGAATACTGAAGTGCCAGCGGCCACCAGCCTGTAAAGCTACTCATCATTATCGGCATCATAAAAATCAGGAAAAACCAAGGAACAGGGAAGCCATTCGGTTCTGGGAGCAAATTTTGTAATTTGTAAGCCTTTGTAAATTACCTTGGTATGAATGAACTACCAGATCAAGAGATTTGGGGGGTCCTTTTGGGTAAACAAGGTAATGAATGAATATTCTAAAAATACATGATTAATGACTCCACATAAGCTCTTCTGGGGAACTTAAAGTAGATCTCATCCAAAGGCAATTCTGAAATACAGTGGAGGTGCTAATGTCTAGGTTTAATCCTTACAGAGAAGTAACTGCATTAGGGTCGTTTCTAAGCACTTCTGGAGTAAATGCAATACATAGGGGCTGTCCAGCTCTGACATGCCATCGTCAGTAAATTCTCCCTTAAAAATCCTGCTTGTAAGCCAAATTATTCTTATTAGCCCTACAAAATCTTATACTGGTGTCAAACCTGCAACATTTTGTCATATGAAAATCAATAGCTGCAATTTGCATTTTACTCAGTGTAGCTGAAAGAGATAATCCATTACATAACAATAATTGTATTACAGTTAACGTAGTAAGTTTAGCCAAAATACACCGTTACAGCCAGATTAAGCAGCAATAAACTCAAATAGAAACTAAGGAAAAGAAATGTTCCACTGTTTTATCTCATGACCACACAGAAAAAATCAGCTCTGCACTTCATGAGCAATAAACAACTTGAAAAATTGCAGGAAATATCCTTCTTAGACCTAAGAGAGCTCCTCTAGCTGGCTTAAAGGTCTTTAAAAAACATGAAGTTAAATTCAAGACGGTATCATGTGCCTTCAGTGACATGGCACCACATTTTAACATTATAAAAGTAAACAGAACAGGAGCTAGAGTATCTCCAGGTGTTACCTTCCACAAGAAATAAGAAAATATCAAGGGTCAAACTTTTTAATGCAGTAGCAGTGGAAGTTTCTCAAAACCAAAAGGTGAGTAGGCTGTATTTAAAGGAGATAGTTGTATCTGGATCTGGCCAAAAATTTTCTGACAACTCTTCCTCAATATAAACTATTTCTTACCATGGAAAGGTATTTTCATTGAAAAAAAAAAAAAAAAAAGTGATTTGGACAAGGGGCAGTGTTTCAGCTATAGGAGAACAAACCGCATCACACACTTTAGACACCTCAAGGTTCTTGTACTGCTGGATTTTGGGGGGGTTGGAGATGGAGGAAAGAACAAAAGCCGAACTTTTGAAACAGATTTTTTTACAAAAATCCTGTTGTCAACTTATTTTAAAGAAAATTATTGGCCACAGCTCCCTTTTTTTTTTTGTTTTCAGGAATTTCTTAAGAAAGGGAGGAAGAGAGTATGTTTTGTATTAGTTGCTATTTTGGAAGGGACTCAGAAAGTTAGATGACCTGCTGAGAACAAAGACACTCTACGCAGAAATAGTTCTCGCGCTTTGCAGTCATCATAACCAGACCAGCAGATGTTTATTATTTTTATATAAAACAGAAACAGTTTTGATCTGTTTCATTTCTGCTTCATTTCTGTTTATTTGCTGGATTGATTATTTTTCCTAATTATTTTAAAGAGCCTAATTTTACTGTCACTCTGGGTTTCTTGCAAGACTCCTTCTGGGTCTTGCTTTAAATCTTTTTTCCAGAAAAAATGAAAGTGCCTGTGCCTGGAAGAGGTCACAAGAGGCCAGGAGACTTGCTACAATCCTACATTTACTTCAAAGCGTCACTGAGGACTACTCAAGGTTTACTTGCTCTTTACACGTTAATACCGCATAATCCTTCTAGGAAGGTGGGGGGAAGCCACCCCTACTAGTGATGAGTTGACTGCAGCAACGTACTGAAAGCTGATACCACAGCAATAGGAACAGCCTAAAGATTGGTACAGAAAACAATATACAGCCTGATCTTCCCAGAGAAGGACTTGGACCTAAACACCAATAGGAAAATTTTCTCTACTGCTGAAGTCAGGGGTTCAAAATCTTTTTTTTTTTTTAACTTGTGTACTACATCCAGCATGGGTTGCAGGTACAATCTGTGCCAAGGCTGATCTGTGGCCTGTGTCCATGTTGTGGCTTACACACCAATAATGGTGCACAGTTCTGCTACCACCTCAGCGTCTGTGGCCTGGACTTTTTAATACTTATTACCATTATTTATGGGCTGTTAATCAGAACGCCTACCTCAGGCCCTCAGTGGGCAGAACAATAATGTGGTTTACACTCTTTTTTTGTTCTATCAGGATTTTAAACGAGTATTCTCAGTCATCCAGAAAAGGAAGTTGTATTAATCCTTGCTGAGTGCCTGTGCCTTTTCTATGAAGGCGAAAAAATGATTTGTCACAGTACCTTGAAACTGTTTTTTCTGGATAGTGTACACACACACAAACACACAAAGAACAATTTTGAAAATGAGCCAAAATCCACATGATTTTACAAACAATCTTCCATCAATGCATTCATCTAAAATGTATCACGCAAACTTCAAATATACTTCTTATCGAGCCACCAGCTCCATGCCAACTTTCTCTTTTCTGATTTTTCAGGACACAGTCAGACTTCCTCCAGAAGCCCTGCTGATGCGCCGTGTCTGGCTATGCTTCCCCTCTCTTTCCACCTCCTGGTCACACTGGGGGTTTGGTACTTGTAACTGCGGAAGCCAACCTCCTCTTTGGGAAGTTCTCCTCACCAGAGGACCTCGATGGGCAGAACAGCTCAGTAGGGTTAGCGTGACGCTGTTGCAGACCCACGTGAAAGAAACACCAATAGCTGAAAATGGACCTAGCACTAGGTGTTTATGTCCCATGTTTTGGTGTTTCACAAAACCAAAGGCAACAAAACTCAGAGGTGGAGAGTCTGCTTTTTCATTCGTTTCTTGGAGCCCAGTTTTAGTGTTGCCAGTATGAACGTTTTATTTTGGATTTTGTGGTTTTGCTTTCACGACAGCATAAAAGACTCACAAAACTGCAAGGTCACCTTATAATTGACCCTAGTGAGATCTTTTGCCTGAGATCTCATCTGCTGTCCTTCAAGGGAATTGAAAGGAGAAAAAAGGGTAGTTGCCCTCTGTGTCAGATAAAAACTAAACTGGAAGTAGGAAGACGTTCACATTCTGTGAAACGTAAGGATGGAAACCTTGTGAAACTTGAGCCTGTGGAACTTCAGCTTCTATTTTTACTCTTAAGCGTCATGGGCTATCAGTAACAACTTTTTTTTTCCACAAGAAATGTAGTATTTCTTCAGCAGAAGGGTGAAGCCGACCAAGAAAGACGATGGAAGTTCATAGAACATCAACATAGAGGAAGGAAGTGATGTGTTATTACAAAATCCACTTCTAAACAAGCTTTAGAAGCTTCTAAGTAAGCTTTAAGAAGCTTTAGAAGGCTGAATTCAGTATTTTTTCTTTTTGTTACGAAACACAGCAAGGTAAATGTGATCATCGTGCAAAAGCTGGATTCTTAAGATAGAACTGTGCAATAAGAAATTGTTACTGTGACAATGTTACTTCTTTAAAGATGGTACCTTTGGAGGAAAAAAGAATTAAAAACTCGTCAGAATAATTGTAACTGATACTTATGCAAATCAAATGGGTTTAGTTCTGGCAATCTTCAATTCAGGTAGCATAAATGTCCTGCATAAAACTAAGATTGAAAGAATCCTGTATACCAACAGTATGAAGAAAGTGCAGAAGTTTTGTTTCGGGCCCGAGCTGCTGCAACTGCCCTGTTACAGAACTGAGAAGCATCCGGAGAACTACTCACCCACACCGGTGAAGAGCTGTGTCTGCAACCCACTCCTTCTGGCTGAGCCCTCAAGCAGTGGGAAGTAACTCATAAGAAGACACATAAAGTCATTTTGATTTGGAACAGTTCCACTCTCTTTGCAAAGGAAAGGCAGGAGTCATGGCAATCTGCTGAAGTTCCCACTGACTGGAAAAGGGGAAACATAGCCCCCATCTTTAAAAAGGGGAAAAAAGAAGACCCAGGGAACTACAGGCCAGTCAGTCTCACCTCTGTGCCCGGCAAGATCATGGAGCAGATCCTCCTGGTGACTATGCTAAGGCACATAGAAAACAAGGAGGTGATTGGTGACAGCCAACATGGCTTCACTAAGGGCAAATCCTGCCTGACAAATTTGGTGGCCTTCTATGATGAGGCTGTAGCACTGATGGATAGGGGAAGAGCAACTGACATTGTCTACCTGGACTTATCCAAAGCATTTGATACTGTCCCACACGACATCCTTGTCTCTAAACTGGAAAGACATGGTTTTGATGGATGGACCACTCGGTGGATAAGGAATTGGCTGGATGGCCGCACTCAAAGAGTTGTGGTCAACGGTTCAATGTCCACGTGGAGGCCTGTGACGAGTGGTGTTCCTTAGGGGTCAGTACTGGGACCAGTGCTATTTAACATCTTTGTTGGAGACATGGACAGTGGGATCGAGTGCACCCTCAGCAAGTTTGCAGATGACACCAAGTTGTGTGGTGTTGTGGACACCCCGGAGGGAAGGGATGCCATCCAGAGGGACC